CGCCAGAGGCGCCACCACCGCGGCGTGACGTAGGAGAGTTGAGTTCGTGTATAGACCCCTTTTTTTTTCCCTTAATAATTGGCGGGGCATAAGCGTTGAGTAGACGCGCTTTTGATGATGTCAATGGAAGATAGGAAGCAGAGCGGGAGGGGCAGTGTACTAGGGAGCACATTGTAGTGCGTTTCTCGATTAAACATGATATTAATCGTCTACATACTTCGGTTGACCCTTGTATCGGTTGATGATAAACTATAGGCTGCTCGAATTTTGCTCCACTTAATGTGTTCAGCAGAGCTTTGGGCTTTTCAAATAAGTAAAAAAGTATAGTTTACAAACTTTTTTTTTTTATTTTTTATTTTTTATTTTATGATTGGACAGTTCATCTATTGCATTTGTGCTGTTTTTCTTCAACGAACACCTTGCTCAGACCGTGAATGATTTTTTTTTCGTTCTGTTTATTTGTGTTTTTATTCCTGCCTTCAACTTTTCCGGAATACTGATCAAATCCCTAGGGACCCCAATTCTGGAGTGAGCTCAGATGTTTCCTCAAGCCAGGCCGAGATGAAGGCCCATTCGCACAACAGTATTCGTAGTGGGAACCGAGTGTGCCCCTGTTTTTCGTTTCTCTTCATCACACCGTCTATATTTCTCGACGGAAGAGAGCTCCTTTTTACGTTGAGCTTAGCGTTTCAAGCTCCCGCCCGCTAACTGCCCAAAATTCAAACGTTCAAATACAGAGAGGTGGTGGGCAGATGATTGCAGATGTCGAAGTTTCGTAAAGTGATATCCGCTGCTCGACATTTCCGGTCCGGCGCGCCATTTGCGACACATAAACTCGACAGCACCCTTCTCGATAGTATGTCTCCCGATGGTGTATCCGGAAAAGCTTGTGGAGCAAGTCAGCGGGCCCATTTCGCCACTTTGATTGGCGTTTTTGCATGTGTGCCACTTTACCTGATTTACGGAGGGAAACGAAGGAAGCGAGGCAAAACTTAAAGACCGACCTACAGAATCGTGTTTTGCCAGGATGAAAACCGGTCTCCAGTTTCCTTCTCTCCATTCTCTTCGGCGCCCTTTTCCGCTCCCCTCCCCCACAGGGGCAGGTGTCCCTCTACCTCGAATAGAAAGGAGTAATTGAGGGAGAGTTTCCTCCCTTCTGGCTGCTCGTCGCCCTTTAAGTAGACACGCCTTAGGGATTCTCGCACTAGCCTTTAGTCGACTCCCAGATTTGCTTACGCTTATCGGGTAAGCAAAGGTGGGAGATGGCTAAAAGCACATGGATCAATCACTGAGGCATGTTTACCTAAGATTTGGCCACCCCTCCTCTCTCTCTCCGCCCGTATGCCAGGCGATGTGACCTCCATGAAAATGTACCAATCGGTGCCCAAATTGGCCCGTTGACTTATTGCACAAGCTTTTCCGAAAACGACCCCCCGGTGTTTGAAAATAATTTGCGAGGACACCGCTTTCGATCACTGAAACGCCGTTTAGTTCGACGGTTCCATATAATGTAACGCGTTTCACGGGGCCATATAATGTAACGTGTTTCACGGGGCCATATAGTGTAACATGTTCGTCTACAGTCGTGGACATCATAAGCTGAAACGACCGAGCGGCGGCCAGAAGATGCCGGTGGCGCCGCCCCGATGCGAGAGGTCGAACTAGCAGCAATATCAGCATGCGAGCGAGAGTGCGGCGGCCACTGCTATTTGACAGCCTGTGCCTTTTTCGCGGACAAACATACGTGTTTGTTGCGCTAGTGGAAACAGGCCACAACTGTCGAAAGGAAGGATCCCACGATGACGATATGCTCAAGTTTTTAGGTCAACGCATAACCGTCCACCCTTAACCAATGTGTGAAAGTTTTTTTAACCATTTGTGTACGTGTTCGTTGTGCATTGCTTTAAATGAATTAGCTCAAGTTATATATCGTTGCTAATGAGGACCCGTTGTTTTATTAAGAATTTTGGAATTACATAAATACTTTGTTTCAGTTTAAATGCAGACGCAGCCGACGCTACGAGCTAATGGGATCAATCAAGCAGTGTCAAAAGTGCAAGCCACTAGGCCTTTTCTGTTTATGATTGATGCGGCTATGATAGACCACCTAAATAAACATGACAAACACGATGATTGTACGTTTTTGACGCTGTCTTATTGTTCCCATCAGCGCGTAGCTTCGGCCGCGTCTGGACTTACGGTGGGACGAAGTATAGGGGAATGCATCTCACTCCGCGTAAACCCAATGTCCTCGGCGCGAACGGGCTTTGCTCTGCAGGAACGGCTGAATGCGCCGCAGCCTCGGGATTGTCCACTTTTAATTGGAAGGTGCCGCCATCTATGGTCGTGGGCATCCCGAGCGCCAGTCGCAACAGCCGTCTTTCTGGTGTCTGCGCCGGCGGCAGCCCTCAATATCGTGGACAGCGCGGTGCACATGCGTTGTCTTGGATCCGAGCTGCCCACACTTCGTGGGGTAGAGTATGGCGCTGTAGACGCGCTGTGTAATGCGAATGAGCGGCGTGGAATGTATTTTCCCGAGTATTTGTCACAAGCGTGCACGCAAACGGCCCTTCCAGCGTTTTGTATCGTCGGCGCTGAAGGAAATGTAGGCGATTCTGGCATGTGGTGACAATAGCGGATATGCAATTTCTACGCTTAACTGCGCCACGACGCTTACCTTGCTGTGTCTGCGTTGGCGGTGCTTCACGCGTGGCAGCTGTGCAAGGCGGGGAAGCGACATTTGCAGAGCAATCGCTCCGCAGCCGCTGCGCGGATTGCGTGAACCTCACACGCAGCCCGCGCTGTCTTCACAAATCGTAGCGTAAGTTACACTGCGTGTCATATGACAAATGTTGCGTAAGTTGGTACCACGTGTGTCAAAAACCAACCGAAAATCGCACTAAAAACCTTAACTTATAAAAAAACTTCGACACATATTTTTTTTCTTGAAAAACACATGGGTATTTGCGGTACAGAACTCGAACTCGCGTGTATGCTTTTAACGAAACCTTATTTGCGATTTGCGTTCCTTGAACACGCTCTTTCGCGGAAAATCGCCTAAACCAATTTTCGCATAATCCGACGTTTTTTTCGCACGTGTGCTTCAGCCTTCAGTCGCGCCCACTCCTCTGTAAACGCCAAATGACGATTGATCTCGTCTGCTGCTTTTACGTTACTGAGAGCAGCTCGGGAACTAATAGCAGCTAGGATGGCCGTAAAATCGTTAGATCTTGATGTTGAAGAAGAAGAAGAAGAAAAAGGCTTATGAATAGTGATGAGTACGATGAGCAAAACTACTTTTTATTATTATTGATGGAAAACGGGCGCCATCTCGCAGACTCCTTGCGACTGGCGGCCCTTTGTTCTACAGCTGCCCCGGAGCGGAGCTGGGCAAGTAGGGGAAACGACTTAACGAAGTACAGCGCGCGTGCATCGTTTCTTTTCTTTTTTGTTCGAATTTTAAATAGTGATACCGTGTTATTCTAGAAATATCTAAAATTCGTGGCGGTGGCCTGGTGCACATACTTAGTCATAACTGAGAGGTTTTGCATGTGGGCGTTGTGAAATTGTTTTTCTGTGCTACTAACTTGATATGGCTTAACAAGTTCTTGTTTTGGTCAGATTCCCAATTTGTTTTGCTGCTTTTAAGTTGACCTAAGACTATTTATATTATACAGTGAGTAAGCAAAGCTTTTTAAATGGGTAATTAGCTTTAGCATTGAATATCCACAGTTCATTGACTCACTAACAATTGTATGCTGATATATTATTGCCTTTAAACTAAACAGCTAACTGCTCTTGCCGTGCGTTGCTTGATGATCAAAACTTTTTATTTATTTGAATATAAATTTTTCCGCTTTTATTCCAGGTTTTACAATTTGTGAAAAGACACTTTATTTCATACTCGTAATGATTCTTTTTCAAAATTATTCCTCCTGAATGTTCATTGATTTTGCTTCAATTATCAAAATTTTAAATGTACCATACTTTTACGACGTGGCCGAACCCGTCGCGAGTTAAGACAGGCATCCGGTGGTGGCTGAACAACTCCGAGGTTTATCTACTCTGAAAAAGACAAGGTTCGAACACGCCACGTGCCAAAACGAAAAAGCACACGATCGCAAGAAAAGAAAAGATGTGCACGTGCTTCACACGTGACAAACGTGACTACAAAATACACAAGAAAACGTTTGTGGAAAACAATAACATTTCACTGCGTTTTCCACACATACATACACATGTTTTATAAATCTATGTGATCATTTGTCTCTGAACACCTGCTGATCCTAAATGGCTGCTTGGAGCCAATGCTATCAATTTTATATATTGGATTTCAGTTAATTAAACTGCTTGACATTTTAATGGTGGTAGCTCTTGGGCATGCTGGACTAGCAAAGTAGAAAATGCACTCTCTTTTTTAAGTATGAATGCAGGAAGTTAATAATAACAAAGGACATACATGTGCCCCAAATTTTCTACTCCACAATGCACTTCTGGCAGCTTTTGGATGCAGATCTGGGCTTCCAACTCAACTTGCTTGCTGCTCCACACCTCTTAATGAGGCAGCCCATGATGGAAGCAGAACCATAAACACGACAGCTCTAAAAGGTGCCTCAAACACCACTTCGGCTCATCACAATGCTGTGATACAATACAGCAAATGCACTTTTGTGTTATTGCCTAGTTGGCTTGGTCTGTCAAAGCACAAGCTCCATTTCATCTTCTTTTTTTTTGTCTTTGCTAGTTCAAAGGCTTTTCGTTGATTGATTTCACCATCATTATGCATGTCTCAATCTGTCTTTGTCTTAAGACAACTTGCTGTTGCAATTTAGGAGAAGTCAAGAGCTTGCCTTCATAGCTCTGACCAGCATTCAAGGTGTACAAGTGCATGGGTGCCTTTAGCTTTGACCGCATTGCACTAGAAAGTTCTCACGGTGTATGGCGTAACTTCACCGATCCCCGACCTGACACCGCACCCTTTCGTTTCTCTTTGCTGTCAGCAACGAATTCGCCCGGGTGGTAGCCGAGGAGTACCTCAAATTCTTCGACTTCAATCAGCGGCCCCTGGATGCCGCCCTGCGCATGTTCCTGCACCGGTTCTGCCTGATCGGCGAGACGCAGGAGCGGGAGCGCGTGCTCGTGCACTTCTCCAAGCGCTACCTCGACGCCAACCCGGGAGCCTTCAAGTCGCAGGGTGAGCACTACTGCAGGCTCTTGTCCGACGTGAAGACTGTTCTCGCGTCTGTTAAAGCCGCTGAAGCGTATGTCGCAGCACTAAATCAACACTAGGGACAGTGCAGTGCCAATTCGAACGCAACTTAGCACCGATGCAGCATTTTAAAAGTGTTTTATCACTAAGATAGTATGAAGTCGTCACTGCATCGGCATAGTTAGCGCTATTTCCAGCACTGACTAACACTGCCGCGGTGTACGTGTGAACAGGCCTTGAGTTTGCCGATCGCTCGTTGCAGATGCGGTGCACACGCTGACTTGCGCGCTGATGCTCCTCAACACGGACCTGCACGGAGAGGTAGGCACCGGTCTTTCTTTCATTTTTTTCTTTGACGGATCTCGAGTCAAGTAATCCTATAATGGCTCGCACAAAGGCAGCCTAGTCATTCCTAAGCTCCCGCTCAAGTTTATATCTGTATTGACGAAGAGCGCTTCCGTCTTGCGTGGCACTCACTTTTGAGGTGCAGTCTACAACGTTTTGTTTGAGGCATCACCCAGCCTTATGAGATGTTTTCCCATCTAATATATTTACGTCAACAAACATGCCGTGGTCTGTGGTCCGCTTTCGGACAGTGAAGTTGTGCAAGTGGAACGACCACATTGGTATCTGTGCCAAGTGACCGAGTGTCGCTGACGCAAAACCTGCTTGTGGCACCACGGACTTTTTTCTTTTTTTTCCGTAGCAAAGAAATTGCTGAAGGCTTCCTAAGAAAGGTATGCTATTTGCAAAGCAGAGTTAATGCCCCTTGTTTCTTTTAGTAAAGGCAAGGAAAAGTTAACAACTTTTCCTGGGAGACTATCAAATAAAAAAAACTGACAATCTAAGTGCGTATTTTTAATTTGAACTTTGTTAAATTTGAAGCGTTTCGCTGTCCCTATGAGGTCTTAATTATCGAGCTTCGACTGTGACAAGCATAACCCTTTTACGTATTCCTTCTAGCCATGGCAATTTTTCTATTTGTCCACGCGAGAAAATACTAGGGTTCAGTTTGCATGGAGGATAGGTTTTCTGGACTTTATACGGTGCTCTCCGTTTTGTTCTTGGCAGAGAAAGTTGGTTTCTGTAAATGGGGAGTTTCTGCGGGCAAACCATGGAAGCTATATTTTTTTTTTTGTGCTCATCTAAATGCAGAAAGGTCCGACCACCTCAATTTCTCACCACGGTTTCCCATTCCGGTGCCCTGTTGTTCCACACCGTTTGCATCACAAATTGCTTTTCAGCAAGAAGGATGGTCTTGCTGGAAAGGACGAATTTGCCGTCCTGCTTCGGAAGATGCTTGATTATGCATGCAGACCGTTCAGCTATGCATATCGCAGATATTTGCGGCGAAACCTCTCGTAGTCGCTTGTGCCTTCGACTCCCGAAAACATATCCCAAACAGGAGCCGAAGACTCAAGGACTCTCATTCTATTGTCGCTTGTTCTCCATTGTAGATTGAAAATGGTCTAGGATTTCGTCAGGGACCCAAATGAGGCATTTCAGGAGAGTAGCAAGAGATAGAGAAAGGCGGTTCCCCATTTAGATTTTAAGGTGCTTGTTTTCTTTGTTTTGTTTAACAACGCTAGGTACCCACGTTATTGGCACATGTGGGATGGCATATGAAACTCGTTTGGCTCTGAAACTGAAAGTAACTTAGCATAGTATGGAGGCAGCATCCATTTACTGTAGAATATGGTATGTTTCTAGGCTCGCCAGAGAGTTACTACCCAGAAGTTGTAAGCAGTGATTCTCCGGTGACCTTCCTATAATATCTTGATAAAGCAGACTAAGAATAAAAGAGAAGTGTTACATTTATCTCCCCAAGCTGGCAATGAAGCAAAGGAGGTTTTGAAGTGTTATGTGTTGATGACGACCAAATTCTTACTTCCTTTGTTTCCTCTTTTTGGCCATTGATAGGCAAACATGTCACTAAGTGCACTGCTGAATATTGCTTTTATACCGATTTATTTTCCCTTTTCTTTGTTAGTGTGATAAAAGTATATGTTTTTCAATTACTGAATGGCGTTTTAAAATGCTTTGTATAAGTGTATCACAATCACTTGTGCGAGCCGGCTTTGTGATTGGGACATAGTTTGCAGCATGTTTTTATATTGTCATGTAGGTCTTTTTGTGTGATAATTGGTGTATTTTGCTGTACCACAATGTCCACCCTGCTAAAATCTCAATGAGGTTGCAGTATTGAATAAATAAGTACAGTGTAGACCGCATATAACGTATGTCGCGGGAGTCGCGAAAATCCGCTTTATAAGCGGTACCGCGCTATAACTAAAACATCAATTTTTCAGGCCAAAATACATGCCATGAGACAACTTAGCTTTGTGAAACAATTTATTTATGTTAGATGAAAAATAAAGCTTAGTTTGAAAAAAGTCTTTACTTCACCACCAGACTAGTACACTTCTCTCTCAAGTGTGTCACACATTTTGAAAGAAATGAGTGACTTTTGCCTGGCCTTTTAACGGCGTCGCGGGTTGCGGACGGACGTTGCGAGAGTTCAGGATTGTTAACCCGAATCACTTTTCTCCGGCGATGAAAACACGTGAAAATTCGTATCCTTTATACGGTACGCGCCAGTAATACCTTCAACTTGAGCACAGGCATGAAATGCTTCAAATAAGAAATCCGGGCGATGTTCGAAAACACATGCTTAGAAAGCACCACTGTAGTCGAAGTAAACAAACACAATGACACAGGCATTTCTGCCGTCTTGAGAGTGCCGCCACAACATCGCCGCACAAGTGGGTGGATCTTCCCTTCTAGTATGTGCTGGATTATCATAGCCGCACACAACGAAAATTCACAGTCAAGGATAGCGCTTTTACGGGGAACGACGAGTGTCCACCACGCCGTCTGCGTCGACGATCACAACCGACGCCATGTTTGCGGATAGAAGCAGCCGGCCTGCGACCGGCATGCAACGTGCGCGAACACTTATCCTCGACCTGCGATTGGTCTGTCGTTGCGGTTGTTTCCAATGCAGCGGAGGGACGCATAGCACGCACGTAAACGACACGTGCGTGCGACCCTCCGTCGCTATGTCAACTGAAGCCTCTCTCTTCGCTTCTTCTTCGAGCAACCTGCTTGTCCCGCGAGTGCCGCTTGCGGCTCGCGCCGTTATCTAGTGTCGCACAGGGAAGCGTGCTCGCTGCACGGGCAGCGCGGGTCAGTCGGCGCAGTCGGCGGGCTGCTCCAGAAACCGCACTATAACCGGTATTTCCCTTTGCGCGCCTGCATATTAAGCGGTATCAGTGATGTGATTGCTGCGCCAATTGCGCCAAACTGCACCAAGGGGCTAACCTTGCTACATCCTGCTACATTTCACCGAAATATGGCTAATCTGCGCCAAGCCTGCGCCAAGGAAGCAATTTTGGTCGCCTTTCAAAAACTAAACTAAACTGAGAACCGTAATTGAGCATGCGTAAGCTAGGTCGCACAAGACGCCGCCCGACACAAAGTACCCTGTATCAATCGTCTATTTGGTCTTGCATGAGTTTTCCCGACGTCTCGCGTTTCGTGTACTCGTCGTCTCAGAAATCTCGTCTCGCGTCTTTTTTTTTTTTTAGCGGTAAACGGGGGCGTGTGCGGACTCTCGGACGTTAGTGTATCGGGTGCCAAACATGCCGTCATGCTGTGAAACACAACCACGTTTTTGCGCGGCGGGAGTTACTTTTGAGCTGAAGCGCTCGTGCGACGTCGTGTGTTGCCGTCCCCACGTCGCTGCAGATATGGCGCTTTCTAAACTGAAACGCGTCGACATTCCTGCTCTTGTTTAAATCATACGCTGCTATAAAAATCCCTCTCTAACTCAATGACTGCTTGGCAAAGTTTTGATTACTTAGGTTTTTCCTGATGGGCTTTCTTTCGAGAGGGACCCCGGTACGTGAAAAATCTGCCGCGAAAGAAAGTTGGTGAAGAAAAGTGAGCTAAAGCAAAGAAGGCAATGTCTGCACGCTGAACCCGCACAGCGTGCTTGTTTGTCTCGAGTTCAGTCGTTGCACGAAGCGCTCCAAGAACTTTTTTGACCCTGATTCGCAGTGTCTTGCATCGATACGCTCAGGTTATTTTTTTCTGTGTGTTTAGTCTGTACCTCGCCTGCCAGCCTGACAAGCACGAGTCGCTGGACTGTTTATTGTCGTATGCTGGACAGTTACATTTCGCATACTATTTTGTGAACCATGCAGTTGGCGACGGAGCGCGGAGTGGCATGGTTTCGGTTTCGGTCGAACAGCCGTTGTCTCCGCCCGCGCGACGAAGCTCGTGTAACTGCAAGCCTGCCGAAGTTGCCCTTACGTGCTTGTGAACATGATTGTAACAGAGGCACCAGCCGGAACGCTTGGAATGCTTTGTTTTCTTTGTTTGTTTACTTTTTTTTTATAAAAATCTGCCTCGTCAAGAATTAGTAAAACAATAGCAATTTTTTTTTACGGAATTGCTTGGCAACGCTTACAGCACTGTGTACTTGTGGGATGTCTCAGCAGCAAAAACACAAGCAGCGAGTTCCGCCCCAACACGTCACATCACGACACAACACAAAGTGCCCTTCGTTTGTCCAGCACTTAAAACAAATATTTAATTTTCTAAGAATATATGCTCCAAAAGTCAGTTTTTGCTCCGAAACACTGTCTTGGGTGCTCCAAAAGCGATATTTACTGCTCCAAAACACTGTTTTGGCTGCTCCAAAAGGTGCTCCAAAATGGCTTAGGCCAATCACATCACTGCGGTATGCAATTACATGGAGTTCTATGGGAGGCGAACCGGTGGTTTAAAAAAGCCACGTTATACCTGGTCCTGCACTATAAGCGGTTACGTTGTAAGTGATCTATACTGTAATAATATTTCACAAATGTTTCAAGACGTCACTGTATGAAATATCTTGAGGAAAAAGCTTGCTGGGGTTAACTTTTCACAGATGCCATGCCTTTGCCTACATATTTCTAGATTCACGATTAAGTTGCCACGTAATGTATGTTGTTTGCATTTGACATTCAGGAAGACCAGGTGCTTCGTGCCATGTGAAAGCACTTTTATGAAATGTATTGGGGTTAAGGGCACCCTGGCCCATTTATCCCAGTTTGTTGCCTCTAATGTAGTGACAGTGGTGGTCCTGCTGTGGTTGGTCATGTGCAGAATATTGGCCACAAGATGACCTGCCTGGAGTTTGTAGAGAACTTGGCGGAGCTCAACGAAGGCGAGAACTTCCCCAAAGACGTGCTCAAGGCCTTGTACATGTCCATCAAGACGGCACCTCTTGAGTGGGCTGTGTAAGATGACCCTAGTGGTTTCCTTATCTTCTCGATCTACACAAAGTGAAATTGCAGTGATTGTACCTCCATCACTTGACAGATGCATGCACTACTCATTACCTATAGACAAGCATGGCTACAGACACTGTGTGACCCCCGTGCATGTGCTGGAACCTAATTTCTGAAGAGCAAAGCGTTGGTGCACATTCTGCTCTGGAGCCAGTGCGGCTGCCTCTGCATGACATCGGAAACATGACATTTGTACACCGATTAGTCATAATCTTGATTTAATTATTTTTTGCTGTAGTTAAAATAGAGTGAACATTTACTTTATCTGTTATTCGAGAGTAAGCATTTCTGCATTACTGTTTCCCATTGTTGCCTTGGCTATTTCTTAAACCTCAACTGCTCAGCCTTTGACAAAAAGGCTTGTGGCACTAAGTCACTGAGGGAGTGGAAGCAGTGTAGAAAATTGCTGTTGAATTAATTTTTTTCTTTTTACAATGAGTTATTTAAGGCAGCTTAAGTGACTCCAGACTTAGTGAACCTTGAAGTTTTGAAAGAGTGTGCAAAACCTTTACATGTTTTGCACTGTCGTTCTCATAGCCAGGTAATTTTACAAGTTACTCTAGTTACGTTTTCCCGATTCTAATGCACTGGTATATCTAAATTGTTGATATCTGAAAACTAACTTGGTGCCAATACCCACTGTGTGGATGAAATAATGATCGCTGACCACCTCATTGAATGCACATATGCACAAAAGTTGCCGAAGTTTGACAAGGGTTTGTCACCAAAACGTGAAGATGCTCGATTAATTTTTTTTTCTACCAGAACGATTACTTTTTATATAGAGAAGTTTTGCAATATAATTACTTTGTTTTTCCATTTTACACATGATGAGCAGCAGGGAGGCCTTTCAATCGCCCTGCCTCCAGCGCGAACTTCCTATCTCCGATAATGCTACAGTGTCGCGTGAGATTGTGCTAACAAGGTAAAGCCGTGGAAATGATAATGGAAAATGGCAAACAGAAAAACATGTGGTGGATGGGTGGTACCCATTGTTTTGTGGAGTTGCTTGCATCACTAGTGCCAGCTCCAAAACATGTTACGTCTATGTTGAGGGGGCTGTCCTCCTTACCCCGAGTTTTCCGAGGCTTTCCTTCAGGGCTGCTTTTAGAGTCCAGTTGTAATTTGCGCGTAATTTCAAACATGTTAGTTGTTGAAAAAAGTCTGCATTAGAATCGTGCAAAAATACAATATTTGAAATAGACTCGCTAAGTTCGGCTTAACCGCTTTTGATCAGTTTTCTGCCAACAGTGTCGAGAACAAACAGTAAACGTGCTGCCACGCCACATTGCGAAAGTAAAACGAAACCGACAACCAGAGGACGTGCTTCATGCTCTGCCGCTCACTGTCCAGGGACGACTCTGAACAAGACGGTACTTCCTCTCAAGATAATCAGTCCAATGCGTCTGAAGCCAGGCCTGCGGGATTCATTGGCCACAACCCATTCTTGGAGGTGCGCACACTGCCTCTTCCTCTGTCTGTTGTCTGGTTGCCTTTGGAACTGCTGTGGAAGCTTCGCTTTAGAGTATCGGCACTTCTGCCATCTCGGTGCTCAAAGTCATTGTTGCCAGTTGTGTTGTTGTTGCCAGTTATGTGGAGCTTCATCTTAAATCGCAGGAAACGTTTTTCCATCTTTTAGAAATGTTAAACCAGTCTGCAACAGAGAAAAACAATATCAAGTTGGACTCCTGACACCATTTCTAGAGCTCAGGATGGGACATTTTTTAATCGTAGCTGTTGCCAATGTTGCTTGCTCTGCACTAAGCGCTAGAATGGCGGCACTCACAAGATAATCGAGGTATGGAATGCCGATACTTTAAACATAGCTTGTTTAGTGGCTCTAAGTGGGAAATATTTGAGCTTCAACATGTTTTTACAGTGCCAGTAGTCACTAGGATTAGAGAACGAAAACGTTTGAGCAATGCTATATTCAGCATTTACTAGTCTCTTCCAAATAAGTTCAGCTTGGGACAGGATGGGCTTTGTTGCTGTTGCGCTATTAAACTGTTAATCATCATTACCCCTTCTGCTTGATTGCTAGTAAACATATAGTTTGTTAAATCCTCCTAAAAATTCTGGCTGCCAAAGCATGCGAATCTTAATTGCCGTCATAACTTCGACTGAAAGATGCGACCCAACCATCGCAGTTAATCCCGGCACAGTTATTATGCGGGCTTTAACTTTTTCAATCCCTCCAAAGCAGTTCTTATGCCAAGGCCGCGTTGTACTACCATTTGGATTGAGTTCTTTTTGTCATTTTAGATACTTGAATTAGAGCGTATAGCTGGGGGAGTGACTGGGCATTTTTTGTAGTTTAGTATGTCAAACTTGCATACCTGCCAACTCTCCCGAATTTCGATCGCATCTCCCAATTGTACAAACACGACCTCAAATCTCGCAAAAAATATTGCCATAAGTTTTTTTCTTTTTCTTTTTTTTGTTTACGCTTTATTGTTATAATCATTGCGCGTGTCAATACGAGTTACTCGAGAGTAGGTTTAGGTTACTCCGGCGGGCATGGCAACTCGGAGCAGCAGCGTAAAACGAGGGTAGATTTTCAAACGCCAATGTACGAAACCTCTACTCTGGAGTAAGTTCGAGCTAATTTTGGAACACGGCTTTTATGATCATGGGTGCGCAGCTCTAGGCAAGGTGCTGGGCTTCAGTTGGCTTTGTCAGGTCGTCGAGTGAAGTGCGGAACGCCGAGCTACTCTTTGTGTTTCCCCGGGTTTAATTGAAACGATCAATGGCACTTTCAAAAGCCAAGAGGAAGTACTTGCTAGTATTTCTGAGATCGTACACGACTGACCACGATTGTCAGTTCGTGGGAGGGTGACAAGCATAGATTCTATACCACGTGCACCTGTGATGTGAGCGTTTCGCACGGCGGCAAGGCCGACATCAAGATGCACATCGCCTTACAAAAACATCAGAACTATCTTCGTGCCACAGAAGGGCAGGGCACCATCCGCAGTTTTTTCCAAAACAACTGCAAAGACAGTGTAATCCGCGCAGAATGCCTCTTCACAAAACATTTGTGTCAAACATAAAAAAAAAAAAAAAAGTTTTTTTACCATTTTTTTTTTCTTGTGGCAGTCTCCCAAATTTTTATTTTGGTGGGTTGGCAGGTATGAAATTGCATAAAATAAATTTTGGTAGTACATTTTTTTACAATAATATCAAATACTTGCATGTGGTTTTGGCTAGCAATGACAACAATGACTTGGGTTGACAGTCTCCCAAATTTTTATTTTGGTGGGTTGGCGGGTATGAAATTGCATAAAATAAATTTTGGTAATACATTTTTTTACAATAATATCAAATACTTGCATGTGGTTTTGGCTAGCAATGACAACAATGACTTGGGTTGACAGTCTCCCAAATTTTTATGTTGGTGGGTTGGCAGGTATGAAATTGCATAAAATAAATTTTGGTAATACATTTTTTTACAATAATATCAAATACTTGCATGTGGTTTTGGCTAGCAATGACAACAATGACTTGGGTTGACAGTCTCCCAAATTTTTATTTTGGTGGGTTGGCAGGTATGAAATTGCATAAAATAAATTTTGGTAATACATTTTTTTATAATAATATCAAATACTTGCATGTGGTTTTGGCTAGCAATGACAACAATGACTTGGGTTGACAGTCTCCCAAATTTTTATGTTGGTGGGTTGGCAGGTATGAAATTGCATAAAATAAATTTTGGTAATACATTTTTTTACAATAATATCAAATACTTGCATGTGGTTTTGGGTTGCAATGACAACAATGACTTGGGTTGACAGTCTCCCAAATTTTTATTTTGGTGGGTTGGCAGGTATGAAATTGCATAAAATAAATTTTGGTAATACATTTTTTTACAATAATATCAAATACTTGCATGTGGTTTTGGCTAGCAATGACAACAATGACTTGGGTTGACAGTCTCCCAAATTTTTATTTTGGTGGGTTGGCAGGTATGAAATTGCATAAAATAAATTTTGGTAATACATTTTTTTACAATAATATCAAATACTTGCATGTGGTTTTGGCTAGCAATGACAACAATGACTTGGGTTGGCGTGCCGACAGAATGAGAACGGCGGGGAGGAGCTCCAGTTGTCCAGCCTCCAGCACGAGCTCCTTACCTTCAATGAAGCTTGTGTGTCTCGTGGGCCTCGAGCGTGCACGCGCGGCCAAGGCATGGCAAAAGGCAGCGCCCTGCAGTTCTCACCTTGTCGGTGACCATAGTGTCGTCACATTTGTGGCACTCGTTCCTTCGTAAGACTCGGTTGGTAATTTCTGGACCCAGGTCCCCAACCCGAACTGTGCTACGGAGTACAAGAAAGGTTACGTGATGCGCAAGTGCTGCTTGGATCCGGGAGGCAAAAGAAGTAAGAGCCCTTTGCTATTTCGCGCGTCGTCAAAGTGCTCTGGCCTCGCCAAGGACAGAGACAAACCTTTTCTTGGAGAGGTTTGGCGAAGCACCGGCAAATGTTTAAGACCTGCACCCAGAGATGCTTGCTCACGCGTATTCGAGAGGAAGCAAACAGACTAAGGTTGGGGAACAAGATGACACAATGTCATTTCCCTAAAAAGGAAGTGTGTTTACAGGATTCCCAAACTTGAAGGCGACGAGGGATGTATCGACATATTTTTTAACGTCCCGACTCGTAAAAGGCTTTGATCCTGCTCGGCTCGAGCTTGAGACACTTCAGTGTAACGACTATCATTTTTACGGGACTTGCAACTCATGAAGCAATTTGTACGCAACAGCTCCCCTGGGAAAGCGTGGCTGGAAGATGTTCTGCGCAACGCTACGGGATCTTGTACTCTATTTGCACAAGGTGAGTGGTGTCCCCTTCTTGTAGGAAGCAGTCTGGAGGAAACGGAGGGTATGGCAACTAAAACCGACATTCTTCCTTTGTTACCAAATTTCACACTTTTACTGCGCTTGAAAAGGAACCTTCTGGAAGTTTCAGAGTGGCAGTCAACGTTTCTTCTAAGAGACTTATTATTAATTGAAATGTCTTTACTTAGTTTGGTGTTACACTATCAATGCCATCAAAAGCAAACAGGAAGCTTTGCTACACGGTGTGTGCTTCACGGGACAAGTATGCCTTGAGAAATATAGTCTCCTGTCTGACCTTTTTTATTTTTTATTGTTTGGGAATCTAATTGAACAAACTGCAATGCTGGGTTAGGAATATGGCAAAGACAGTAGTTGCACCCAAGACTATCCCACAATATGTCCCCCGGTACCCATCATGAATTTCATTGTTGTTTCAGTGTCATCGAGCAGGGACTGCTGCAGCAAATGTTTGAGGCAATACCAACCACAAAGCACAGGGGTGATGAATACTGCACCTCCACTAAATGTTAGAATGATGTGCTGCCAACAGTGAGGAACAGATGACTGAAGATAATGAAAGATAGAATGTATTTTGTGGATGCCTTGCACGTCTGGGCACACCACGGCTATTTGATCTTCATCTTCGTAACTCATGCAAATCAGAATCTAATTGATTACCTTAATTATTCTTTTCATGTTGAAATGACATTACAATTACTATAGAGGACTTAGCAATTTCAGAAAAGATCAATGCTAGCTTTAGTTGCCATATTCCACTCAAGCATTGCTACATAGAATGGAATCTCCAAAAGAAATTTCTTTTGGCAGTGATTATTTCATTAATGTGGTTGTCACAACTATGCATATGCAATTATGGCATCTGCTGTGCACTGTGTTATTAAAACTGAATTGATCATAAAATCATGTTTCCTTGTATTAGAATGAAAGTGGCCGCATGTCTCGCCAGCGTGCTTGCGGGACAGTCTTTTTTTTCCTGTTTTGGCTACCCCGAACCCCAAATAGATAAAAGATCTGGTTAAACAAAGGGATGCATCAGTAGAGAGGGTGCTTCCTCTGATCAATGAACAAAATATGCTTTAAAGGGATACTGATACTGAAAATTACTTTGTGTATCACATGTAAATAAAACTACCATAATGCCCCGAGAGATAGCCCGCCTAAAAGCGAAAGCAAATAGGGTGAAAATATGGAGTAGGTTAACTTTCGATGTACAATCAAAAGAAGTTGAAAAACTGCTACTTTTAGAGTCTGTGACCTGCGAAACTTGCGATTGCAGGGAGGGGTGATGAACCAAAGTCGACTGTCCTTCCTAGTCAGCAATGTTCGCTTATATCCCGCCGTGGCTAAGTAACGCCATTTCTACCGAGGTCACCGTCGGCCAGGTCCCTGCGATTACTAGAAGTGGGCTATCTTTCGGTGTTTATGTGAAAAATAGCAAATCCTGCCAAATACATTTATTTATTTATTTATTTATTATTGTACATACCCTCAAGCGCCGAAGCATTTATCTTTTGGCGGTAGGGCATCTCAGTGTATTACAGTCTGTAAAGGGTTTTCACAAAAATAAATATTCCAACCAAACATGTTATATATGCATGCCAAGCAGTATACAAATTGCAATGAAAAGAAATATGCACAGGCATACGAAATAATATCAAAGCTGTGAGTTGTTACATTAATTCTAATCTCTCAACACAATACCCCCCCCCCCCCCCCCCCTGATATGCATCCCCCTTTGGGGCCCTAGGAATATGGTCACTTTACATTGTATAGGAAAGCATTTGTCAAAACTTTGGGATGTCTTGAGGTTCAGTCCAAAAAAGGTTTTTATCTTCCCTACTTGCTTTGCATTACTTTTTTTTTTTACTAATGCCTACCGGAAAATACTGCGGAAGCGCCCACTCCGAACAAGCGCCCACTATTAACATTTCTCAAACTTGGGAATTCGGCAAATTATACGTTAAGCACCCACAGCCTTTAAAGCGCCGGTATCAACCGAAAATATTCACTCCGTTGCGGTGGCCACAAGACTGTCGGCTGTCATGACGGGAATATCATGTGAAAATAAATGTGCTTTCTCCGATTTTGTTCACCCTACCTTAAAGGTGCACTGACACCCCAAAGGTTGTATTTTTTTGTTGTCTAAAATGGTGCAAGTTGTTGTCATAAACACAAAAATACCACAAAAACAAAAAAAAAAAATATCTGTGCGCACAGCTTTCTTTTTGGCGTTTTTCTCTTCCTTTTTTTACATCCTCGCTTCTTTTAATTTGGGACGTCAAAAATTATGAAATTTAAAAGCTTTGTAAGCGACATTTCTATAATATTTAATAACGGCATTTGTAAAACATGATTTCAACGCAATTGTGAACGCACTACAACCCTTCTTTTTGATGTACCAAAAATCGAAGTCCGGAGTGATGTCGCCTCCTAGCTTTTATTCCTCCCTTGTAAAACATGGCGGTGCTGGTGGCGCTCAGCACATGTAGCACTGAAGATGATCGGTGAGTCGGGGAATCAGACGAAGTTCTCTTTCTTAGGTGCCCAACGACCTCTCAGACTTAGAAAAGGAAATCAACAAACAGTGAAAACAATTGGGTTTGGTGTCTGTGTACCATAGTTTCGGTTGTGACTCCGCCAGGGCAGCCTTTCATGCAAAATTAGTGCCACATTGTTCACAAAAGTTTGGCATTCTCTTCGACCTCAAACTGTTTCAAAGAATTTGAGATCGCTGAAAGGGCCCTAAAAGAACTTCAAACTCGAAAGTGAAGCGTCGTCTGCTCACAGTGATAGGCGGCAGGCCCAGAGAATAGCATTTGATCGTGGAACACGAGCAAACACGACACTTCGGGTCGGGATGGTTCGGAGGCGTGAAAGAAACTCGAGTTGCGGGACGACACAATCTCTGACGTCACCGCACTGGCTTCAGCTTTGGGAAATCGTTGTTTTACTTCACAAATACTGAGCTCCCAAGTTCCGAATTTCGAGGGTAATGTCCAGGCATTGTTTTTAGTGTATCGAATAATAAAAAAAAGAAAAGTATTTTGATTTGTTAGTGAAGAGTTTTTTTATTGGCCACCATCTTGGTTTTTACTGATTTGATCGTACAAGTGCCCATGTCTAGATAGACACAGTTTTCAGTGTTTGTGGGGTGTTTGCTTCCCAAGCATATTATGTTAAGTATATAATGTCCTCTCTGTTATTTTTCACTCAACTCCAAGAAATATATGATTTTGTCTAGAAGAACAGTTTCACCTTGTCTTGTAACTTTCATGATGAAGGTGCATGCCTTCATGAACTTCGTTTCAGGATGAACAAGGATTTCGCAAGAATCAGCTGTATGAAAGCCTGCATAACTCTATTCGAATCCATCATTCATTGGCCACCAAGGCAACAGACTACACCAAGAAGCAGCATGTGTTCCGACTACAGACAGCAGACCAGGCAGAATACCTCTTTCAAACAGGGTAGGTCTCCAGGCAGCAGAAACGTCATTTTTGTTTATGCCTGCACCAAAGAGTCTGCTTGTGTCCTCCCTGCATCCCTCGTATCCTCAGGTTTTCTTGGCCTCAGTAATATAAGGCATGCTCGTGGTTCAAGGAAATTTTTTTTTGTTCCGCTTGATAACTGTAATACAAAAACGGCTTGACACAACAAAAATAACAATTTAATTAAACGTTTTGCCTACCATACGGGAGGAATTTTCAGTAACGCACAGAGCAAATGAGAGTTGCACGAAAAGTTTGATTATTTAGGCATGAAGTTTCTGTACATATCCGGCAGGGGGCCACGGTTCTTGTTAACCAGCAATGAGTCACTTCTGCGTTTGTCGTCCTGGATGAACCAAGATTCCAGCAGCATTCTCGATCCTCTCGGTCCCCACCTTTTCTCCCTCTTTGACAAGCTTGTCAAAGTCAAATTGGGGGCCTGACGTTCATGCGTGGTCGACGAGTTTGAATGTGAAGCGGGTGGTGTCCGTGGATTTGGCGACGTCCCGTGCGTGTTCTTTTAGTCTTGTTTGTCTTTTTCGTCCCGTCTCTCCAATGTAGGAAGCGTCGCATTCTTTGCACTGCACCAGGTAGATCCTGGCCCTTTCTGTCTCTGAGGGGATTGGGACTTTTGGCTTGGAGATAACGTTGGCTATTGTTCCGTAGGCTTTGTATACAGTTCGTACTCCCAACAGCCTAAGCACGCGTCCCAATGCCGATTTTTTGGTAGACTTCGATTTGGCTGGAAATTTGCAGACCGCATCAATAACTTTATTTCAACTGATAACCAAAATATTTTATAAAAATAAAATTTTTCCGTGAAGTTATCGAATTTTCAAGTTACGTCGGCCGCAAGGGTTTTTATTTTTCCCTACCCGCGTACGTCATGGGTGGGCAGGCGGACGAGCGACTCGGGCAGCCGCGAAGTAGCTTTCTGGGCGCCAGCGATCGAGATTATTTTTTCGCAGCTTCAAGGTTGAAAGTTCTTTTGCAATGGGTAGCAACCTGTGCTCCACGATAGATAGTAGAAACAGTGCCGGGAAAAAGCTTCTTTTTTACCCTTGTTTTCGTGGGACAAAAAAAAAAAAGTATTCCCTGTCAGCAGTGGATGTCAGCCACGTCAAGGTGCTGTGTGCCCAGAAAAGTGAAAACGTGAAACATTTTCACTTTTGCTCTGAATACTTTATAGCTGCGTGCTGCGAGTTGACTATCCTTCAGCAGCTGGAACAGCTTCAAGAACGGCAAGCGCAAACGCAAGCCGGCTGTGACCACTACGACATCCGTCCAAAGAGGAGCGCCAATAAAATCGACAAAAATAGTACACACTATAGCACCATAGTCGACATTTTGCACAGTCACATTTGTTATTCACAACTGGTTCAGTGATATTTTTTTTTAAATTTTTTATAAACACTACATTTGTTTCGAACGTCAAATCTAGCTCGGGCTACTCTCAGAGTTCCACTCACGCGGCCGATATGTTGAAGACGAGAAGTGAAACGTCTAAACAAAGTTCAAGTCTGAATTTAGACATGACTTTCGACATATTGCTATTCCTGTCTGCTATTACAGAGGTTTATGGAGCAGGTGTAGAGCTCCATTAATATACATACGATAGAGCCTTTGCCTGGTTTGACAAATGGTTGGCGTGCAATATTCTCTGCAGAAGTAGTGATGAAAACGTCTTTAATTTATTCTATTGCAAAAAAATTTTATATAGGGCTGAAAAGATTTTTTTTTTTTTTAAACCATGAAGGATATTAATGTCGTTGAGAAGAGGCATGCAAATTTACAGCTGATGAAAACTGTGCTAAACTAAAATTTAATTAAAAAAAAAAAATCTTTTATAGAATTACCCCCTTCCCATGTGCTCTCATTGATGGGTGTTTAGACGCGTTGTATTCTACTCCAAAAGTAAAAAAAACATGGGTACGCATTTTTTTAGTAACTTTTTTTAACATATTTTGAATTAAAAGTTTTATGATGTCTTTCTGTACCTAACGCACTATTGTATCTTCAAGCAAATATGTTTTTCTTGGAAGATGAACAGTGTATTTTTGTATTTTATACGCATTCCATTGCACCTTGATGTTTGGCTTGGTGGTTGCAGAGTTCTTTTAATTCTCATTTTAACACGATCTTCATGGCCAGTAACCTGCCATCTGATCTACACAAATAAAGTTCATTTCATATTATACATTTCATTGTTTACGGGAATCACAGTCTACATGTGTAGGGTCCCAGCCCAGCTTGCACATGTTCGTCGCTTTGGAAGGCAAGCAGTGTATGTGCCACACGCACGAACGCTGAAAATGGCATCGACCAGATGTGCTTTTCAGAAATGGTCTATAGATCTGTAGCTAAATTACTTAAGCACTAGGGAGCATATTCATGCCACAAGAGGACAAGTGCTGGCACCTGCTACAGTAACTTTTCTAAAAAAAATCTCGAACAAATGGTACATTCCTTCAGGTTATACGAGCGTTTGGGGCATCTGCACCCACATTCCAAGCATTTTCCGTGGTGATTTGGCAATTTGTCAAAAAATATATTGCTTAACTCTTTGACCTTTCTTCGCCAGGGAGCTTCTCATAAAAAGAGAACGGATTTACTAGCGATATTATGAAACTAGCGAGCCGCGGGTTGAGCGTACCGAGTTGCAATAACGGGTTTTACAACATTCCAATTGCTCCCGTTTTCTTTTTTTTTACTTTCTTATAGTTTAGCTCGTAGGCCAAGGCCATACCTTGTGCAAACATAGATTATTGTCAACTTCAAATAGAAAGAACGCCCAAGTTTTCTCGCTGTTAGACGCGAAAAAGGCGGGCGTGAGCATACCTGATTATCGGCCGCGCGCCTCGCTGCCCACCCGTGACGTCACGCTTGGGTGGAGGGGAAAAGTGGGGAAAAACTAGGGAGAACGATGTTTCGGTTTCGGTAGCAAACAAAACATCACCTTTTTAATTAACGAGAGTGAATCTGGGAGAACGAGATAGCATTTCGGAATCAGGAAGCCATCCGCATTGAGATTATGCCTTTGGATTAGGCAGCTCGAAAAATCGGCGGAGTTCCCCTTTAATGTATGGGATGCACACGACGTCACGTGTTTGTTCGGCTTGATCCGCACGCTGATGGGACATTTGTTTGTTAATGCAGTTTATAAATCGGTCGGGGTAGTTACGTTCCTTTAAAGCCTCCCGCATGTGGCTAAGTTCTTGATTGCTAAGCGATGAGTTGGATGGGACTGTTTCTGAACGATGAAGTAACGATCTTGCAACTGAGCTTTTGTGTTGAGTTGGGTGATGAGAGTGGTAGTCAAAAAAGTTTTTTGTGTCACATGGTTTACAACCTGCCAAAAATACCATTGATCACCAATTTTCTTTATTCCTTTTTACAATACTTTGAACTAATTTCTGTGGATAGCCCTTATGACCTTCACACCTATTCTTGGTGACTAAACGCCCTTTCTAAAACTTGAGGAACTTTCCACACGAGTCTCTTTGCGTGGGAGCAGAAGAGTTAAGCGGAAGTGTCAGGAGTGCCCAACGTGTAACAGGATAACAAGGATTTCAAGGGAGGAACTGTTTTTTCATGCTGTTGCAGCGATGCCAAGGAACTGCAGAGCTGGGTAGACACACTCAACTTTGTGACTGCCAGCCTGTCAGCGCCACCCCTTGCCGGTGCAGTGGGCAGCCAGAAAAGGTTCCAGCGGCCCTTGCTTCCTGTCAGCCACACCAAGCTAAACCTGGTCAGTCTTTCCGATTGTTTGTTTCTTCAAACCGACACTATAGATTAGAAGTGCAAGAGGCAGCGTAGAAATATTTCCAAGAAGGAAAGTTGACCTTTTTATGACCAAGGCCCATAATAGTGATGTTTCTGTTCCTCACAGAGAGAACAGCTGACAGATCACGAGAATCGTATTGTGTGGCTGGAGAAGGAACTGGAGGAGCATGTGGCAAACGCTCCCGAGAAAGGAGCCAAGTCTCGTGCAGTGGCGGAGTTCGTCGAAAAAGAAAATTTCCTCCAGTGTGAGGTAGGGCTTCGTTGAAGCTTGGCAATGATTTTTCTGTTTTGTTGCAGGCTAATCTGCAAGATGCCTTTCAGCGGGGCTATAACCTGTTGCATTTGTCTTTATGCGTGTCAACTAGAGCGGGTGATATATCCGTTTTGTGCGAACTGGGGGCTTGAAACAGTCTCCAAGGAACATAAAAGTGCTTTTCAAGGGGACTTGAGGGAGGGTCATTTGGCTTGCAACTTGTCTGTGGCTATTGGGAAAAGGGAAAGCTTCCCCCCCCCCCCCCCCCCCCCAACCTGTAGGTCTGAATGTTCCCGAGAAGCATTCGGGGTATACTATGATAATTGGAGCATGAATTCAGCTTTTTCTTTGTTCAATTTATATTTACTTAACAAACAAGGTTCATTCTTTTTCACAGACTTGATATTTCGCAAATCATGACTGAATCGGAGACTATTTCATTAACTTGTTGTTATATGCTCATCAAACCGTCTCCATTGGTTTAAAACACCTTCCCACGTGTGGGGCACCAGAAGGCAGTTAGTAGTTAGCTTTTATCTGCTTTTTAATATTGCTTTGCCCATCCTTGCTGCAAGCAACTTTTCTTCCGTGACTGAACACTTGCTTTAGTTCTAGATGCAGCTCATTGTTTATCAACGAATCGGTGGCCACGCCGTACGTCTTTTTTTATGATATGCAATGATATTGAAAGGTCTTTCATAGCTGCCTAGCCCTGATCCCTTCAGTTTTGTGAGACTATAAAATTTACATCACCATGAATTGTTTGAACGTCGCACCGTTCTTGTCGGAGCACTCCCATCTTCCAAGCTCATGCAACCCACACTCGTAAGCTTTACGTATGCAGCAGACTTAGACGACGTACACCTTACTTTCTCTTCTGCAGTTGAGGAGATACCGCACTTACGCCTACCTGCTACGCTCCAAGATGGCCCAGTACCCCGAGCTGGTACCAGCCCTCGTCGAAACGAGCATCGGCGAGGTGGACGAACCCGACCAGAACCACAGCAGCGGTAACGGCGGCGGTGCTTGCGTTCTGGGCCCACCCTCCTCCCTCTCCTCCTCTCCCCCACGGACTAAGCACCATGCGGGTGTCCACAAGGGCACGGTGCTAACGGGGATGCCGGGACCCACTTCGAGCTCCCCTCGCAGTTCCCCCACCCGAACCAAGAGGCCCACACAAGACCGCCTCAGCTACCGAACGGCGGTCCAGAAAGGAAACGACTTTATCGCATAGCTCGTCGTCGTCGTCGTCATCGTCGTTTCCCCACTGCGACAGAGCTAGAAGCCCCTTCTCGTGGCATTACCTAACGTCGTCCTTCGAGGCCGGCAACCCCTAGCGGAGGTTTGTATCGAAAGAGAGCTTCGAGGCGTTCCTTCTGTCTGGAGCCGAGGCCGGGAAATCAGAATCTGACTTGCGAAGCTCGTTGTGCACGACGCGTCTGTCAAGCGCAGTTCTTGAAATGTTGAGACTTGGAACTGCGGAAGCTAGACCGTGGAAAAGCGCTGAAATTCCCGCAATATTTATCTTTCTAGGTTGAGATTTAATCGAGGGTGTGAACGGACGACGGAGACGGTAATTTTCTAGGTTTCCGAGTCAACTCGTGGCGATGCCTCGAGGTTGACCGTCTGCCGTTGCGAGTGCACCGATTATGCTAGATGTATCTGTGGTGATGAGAATCGTGTGGCGACGACAAACTCAAAGCCTACGGAAGGCTGAAAAACGTTAAATTGAACAAATGTGAAGGAACGTGCTAGAGTGGTTCTTTTGGAGGGAGGGTGCCCAAGTGGAGAGGGGGATTTTGGATGCTGTTTCATGCGAACCTCTAGCCATCGAAACTGAACTGAGAAGAATGCAGCGAGTGTGCTTTGTTTGACTAGCTTGAAGCCTTCAAGCGAAGGTGTGGAACAAAATTGTTCATAATAGAGTTTTCATGTTGCCCCACTTGAGACCTTCGGAGGAATTGAGACCTTTCTCATTTACTTTGTCTTATTTAAATAGAAATTTTTTCATGTTTTTTTTTTTTGTTGTTGTTTTTTTTCCACTTTTTTTATGCATGCGCACACGACACAGACCTTCTTTTAATTCATTTTCAGAGATGTTTTTGAGCTTCTACTAATGTCGATATCTGTAAATAGCATTTTATACATAGAGCTGTTTATAGTGAATGCTATATTTAAGAACCATGCCAAAAAAAAATAACTTGCCGGGTTTTTTCAGCGACGATTCTCAGACCTATAATTGAGGTGAGCTCACGCATGCTTTTTCTTTGGTGCCGTGGTGGCTGAAAATGCTAAATGGGGCATTGCTAGGGCTTGACTTCTCCGGTGTCGGGCGGAATGATATAAGAGGAGCAAATTGATTCTTTCTGTCTAACAACCTGTGTTTTTCAACAATTTTAAATATTGAACTTTTTTTTTTTCTCTCCTTTGCCTTGAATCAGAGATAGCAGGCAATCTCATCTCGAAACAGCTCTGGAGTTGCATTTAAAACTGAATGTTGGGACCAACTTGTGAGTAAGCACTATATTCTGGCTGCTCCACAGACGGAGCATCGAGACATGCAGCTTTTCTCTCCAAATTTGTAGCCTTACATGTTCGCTTAGTATATTTGATATTCATAAAATGCACAACCTTCGCTGGACATTTTGGTGCACAATCTCGATTCCCACAGGTCGATATGTCTTTGACTGTGACCTATTGCTGCAGTCTACAAATATGGTAACTAACAATGATAACATCTGTACCAGTGTGCTTTGTATGGCATGGGTCACTTTTGATATCTCGCATGTTTTCCGTTTGCTCGTTTTCAACAAATTGCAACTCATCTTTAGCATTTACTGTGCCATATGTAAGTTGCGGTCTTGTTTTACTACAGCAGGATGCAATAACAGAGCAGTGTCGCACATGAAATGAGGCTTCTATCCAAGCTTTTATTGATTTGGTTTAACTTCACTTAATTGTGATTGTGTTTGTAATTGTTGTATTATCATAAGTGAATCAGGCTGTGGACATTGTTGAAGTACCACTGTCACTGTCCTGCTGTGGTAAATACTGCTGAATGATTTTTAAGTGCTAGTCAAGAAAAGTATTGGATACATACAATAGTTCTTATGCAAGTATTACTGGTGTTCTATTCTCTCCAGATATCAATATTAAAGTTAAAGATTTTACCTACCCATTGTGACGGAGCAATATATATTTGGCTTGCGAGTATCTGAGTGCTATCTTTCTCTGATGGAGTCTGAATCACGAGGAAAAATTGCATTGAAGCTGCTTATAAAAATAGATTATTTACATTTAAGCCTTCTTTTTTTCTAACCTGTCTCGGTGAGATTTAATCTCATGTCTATCCATCAGAATCGTCTGTAATTACTCATTGGAAGCCTCAGTTGAATGTCACAAGCTTTTTAGTTTTGGGAGTGCACATGTGGTGCTGTTCTTAAGCTAGAAGAAACTTGCTGGCTATGTGTTAGCTTTCTGCCAAGAAGAGAATGGTACACTCACCAGTAATAGACATTTGATTCTGCTCTCTCGAGTGTTGTCACTGAAAAGGTGTTTTGAAAAAGTTGCTAGGACACTTTGGCACTGTATGTGAAGTCTTGTGCGTAGTACTACCAACACATATCCTCATTTAGTTTTCAGCATAGAGGTATAGCCATGGTCGAATGTGCTGTTCTAATACTCTGATTTATTTTCTTTTTTCACTTCTTAAAGCTTGCTTGCTTTTCAAATAGCACATTTACAGTTGTGCTTGCTGTCCCCGAGATCTGTATGTTGTACCATCTCCATTTGAAACGATACTCTGATGAGGATCGATGCAAATATGTTTTTACCAAAGTGTGTACCCACACAGGCAGTGCCCAGAGTGGCTCATAGGAACGAGAGAATCGCCATGTTCCGTGGACAACCTTGAAAAGCTGTAGTCTCAAAGTGTTCCTTGTCAGTCGAAGAATTACAGTGCTGCAAAATTTATTGTCAGAGCGAAGAAATGTCTTAATATTGAAAGGAAGCATCCAACTCACTTGTGTCGAAGGAAACTACCGTGCCAATACTATAACTACGACCTTTCTCTGCTTTTGGATGTGTTCATGGGCTTATGCGGAGCCTGGGAATCGATGAATGAGACAGTGTTTGAACACAGAGACGCGAATGGTGTTTATTGCGACGGTTTATTGCAATGACTCAAATACCATGAGTTTTTGTTTTTTCTGGGGTAGCGTTAGAAACACGCAGTTCATTTGATTTCTTTTTTTTTTTTTGTAACGAATGTTGCCGGAAGTCAATGAGGAAAGCGTGTTTGTACTATGGAAGCCAAAGAAGCGTCGCGAGTCGTGGGAACGGTGTGGCCATGCTCCAATAATAGTGTACGTGTGGAGAGACTACGCGCAAGGTGCGTCGGTGATTAAGGCCTACCGAGGGAGCCCCTGGCGGGTTTGGCACTCTTCAATCAGTTGTTTTCGTCTTCGTGTCGCGCTCTCCTCCACCTTCCCGATATTTCCCGCACCCCGGAAAGTGCTTCTATAGTGTGTGCCTTAGAGTGGGTAGCAAATGTTGCTTCTGCATATCTTAGCGGTTCTACTTACGTCCGTTCTCCCGTGAACTCTCCCGACAATAGCTCCCCCCGCCCTCGGCGGCGACGGTGGTAGCAGCGCCGTGCGCTCCGAGGTTTTCGTTTTTCGGCGACTGTGCGCGACTTTTGAAATTGGCGCCGCGGTTGAAGGGGATATCACCGGACCGGACTTGGGTCGACGTGAACACTCTTGTTTGGGCGCTGACGCCGATCTGCTCTCTGAGCAGCGGCCAATGACGTGCCGAACCGTGGGCATGGCTCTCGTTGAACTTCTGGAGCGACGCTGGAAAAACAATAAAAGTTGGATACAAAAGGCATGCACTGGTCCGGCTTTTGCTTTTGCGTCATACGCTTGTACAGCGTGTGAGCGAGCGCCTCCAAGCGCGAGCCACCAGCATTGGCTCCTCGACGCCGGCACCGCCTCTTTCCGGGCATTCGAGAAATGACCCGCGACGTCATGAGGGAGGATTTTAGGTAATTGCTGCCGATCGTCCGACTTTGCTCTCCATCGCCGAAGCAGTACAAGAGGAAGTCCAGCGAGCCGACCAACTGGAGGCTTCCATCAACGCCATCGGTAGCGTACGCCGCGATTGCTGGAGGCTGGGTGGCTCGCGCTTAAAGGGCTCGCTCGATGTTCGTGGACTCCGTGACGAATGCCTGGACGGTTACGGGCGGGTTTCGCACGAGGCCTCCGAAGATGCTTTACTCCTTACAATAGATCTTGAGCTTCGCTTCCCGCGTTTGAAGATCCGCACGGTTGAATGGTCGGAAGACGTCTTCGACGAAGCTGACGACGCTCTCATTTGGTCCTTGAATTCTTGCCTGGAGCAGCCCTTCGGCGCGTTCCCAACGCTGTTGACTCGCAAACATGTGCCGTAGCTGCTCTTTGCACGTTTCCCTGACTGATGCTTCGTGGTTTTACAACCAGGGCCGAACCGTTCCATTTAGTGAGAAGCAGGCGTTCTGGGTGCTCTGCTCTGATGTCCATCGGTTGTGTCGTGCCACACGTTCGTTCTGCTGTATAGAGTCGTCCGACGTCTTTGTAAACTTCGCCGTGGAAGGGCATCGACGTACGACATGCGGCGGGCAAGAACACGATGGGGGATGCGGCAGCAGGTGTCTCGGTCGGCTTACGATGGGAGAACATCTCCGGGTTGGTCGACTTCTCTCTTTGTTGTTTCACCAATAGACCAAATTACGATAGCTAACCTTCCCTGTTGGAAATGGGAGGCCTCTTCCAATGGAAATCCCGAGCCAAACCCAATGAGCGTGAATGTGTAAGTAGCACCAATGAGCAAAACTGCCACCTCACTCATTCGCGCTATTGGAAATGCTGCAGAGAAGTCACGCTTGGGGGGAAGATACACAAAAGTCTAGAGAAGTCAACTTTAAGGGGGGAGGGGAGGGGGGGAGGTGACATTGACAGGGTATTTATGCTCGCAAATGGTTCTATTTGTACATGACATGTGAGAGCCCAAGTACACAAAACCCAATTCGCAGCTCTAAAATAATTTTCTTTCCATCCGAAAACCGCCGATCAAGAACTGGCCGATTTGAGTCGCGCTCATCCTCTTCTCCGTGGTCACGTGCCGTTTTCTATGGTTTAGAGTAAACCATTTCTAGTATTGAGTGTGTGCCTTCGACGACAGACTACTTTATCTTGAGTAGCTGTGTCTAAATTTGAGACACAGCCACTAAAGATAAAGTAGTCGGTCGTCGACACACTCAATACTCGAAATTGACAAAAAAATATGACACCCATATTTCGTGACTTGCGTTATCTTTCTCCCTTACTTTATTTCGTTCTCTCCAGTCCAGTTTCAATCTCAAGCCGTTCCGATTTTTTTTTTTTTAGTATACGTGGCATTGTAGCGAAATATTAATTGGGTAGTAGGGTTGTGCGAATATTCGGAAATTCGAATAATAGTTTCGAATAATACACTATTCGGTGTTCGCTTCGAGAAGAACTGCACTATTTGCGTTTTTCGAAGTCTTCATTGCGGCGGATTAGCTCCGTTGAGTGCGCTTCTTACCGAGCACAGGTGCGCTGCGGAGAAGCAATACCCGCGGACACGAGCTCCGCAGGTGTTGCTTCTCTGCATTGCATCGGTGCTGCGTAAGAAGCACACTCAACAGGGAACTCGCCGCGATAAACTCCTGGAAAAGTATAAGTATCGCAATCGTGTGCTATGAAGTAAAGCATACATTCAAAGCGGGAGGGTGCACGCGTGCCGGATGTATTTTCAAATAAATAGAAAATTTGTGAATGTGTATACCTACATTGTAGTAAAAGTTTCAAAACTAAACTGGCAAAGCTGCACTTGCAACCTGCGTTCATCATGCGCGATTCATACTTTTTAAATCGAGATTAAAGAAAGAATATTTTATATAGCAAGATTTGTAAATTCACTCAATTGGGTATAGTTGGCCATATATATAGGATGAATTTTATGTCAAATCCGTCGTTTACTTGCTATCCCAAAATATCAGACCTGAGGTTACAGTTCATAAATATGGATATATTAAACTTAACTTCTAAATAAACAAGTGGGACAACCTTCACAAGTTTAGCTGGGGTTTCGTCTAAGCATTATGCTACGGTAGTGACAAAAGTGAAAAAAAAAAATACTATTCGATATTCGAATTGAAAATATTCGGCCAAAATGACTGTTCGCGTCGAATTCGCTTCGAACTCAAAATCCGCTATTCGCACAAGACTATAGGGTAGTATTCTAACTCCATAATAAATTGCCTGTCAAAAAAAAAAAAAAAAATTAGGGGGTTAATTAGCACCAATGTGCGCCGTGATATCATTAGTATCAATGTGCAGCGAGTTCACATTGCTCATTACGACCAATGGCGTCGTGTGGCAAAGCCACGTCGAGGTTCATATTTGCAAACCGTGTATTGCAGAGAAGTTATCTCCATGCAATATGCGACATTGATTTTTTACGATTCCAAAATTAGCCGCAAAAAAGCGCGGAAATCATCCATTTCTGAAATCGTAAAAGAGAAGCCAGAAATTGTTGACGAATGCCTCCAAGCCCATTTCTTTTATTGCCTGTGTAAATTGCTTGAACCATCCATGCCGGCTGTCTTCAATATTGCAATTGGAACATAGAGAATAAATATCTAATCTAAAGTTTATTCGTGAATTTTAGTTAATCAGTCATCTTTTAGATGCATTCTCTCTTGAACCTGCCTAAGCAGACGAATCCCGGAGGAAAGCTCGCCCACTTTTTTGTGGGGTCCGGAGCAAAGCTCACCAGTATTTTGACAAACTCGGAGCAAAGCTCACCTTAAATTATTATGTGAAGTGGTCGTTACCATTCAATAGCAATGCTACCAAGGTTTTGAGCGCCTCTCACGCAGGCGGTGCACCATACAACAGATTGAAAGAGACGCTGACAGGGTATATATACTGGTTAGTTTCTTTATTTGTACATGACATATGAGAGCCCAACTACCCAGAACACCATTTGCGGCTCCAAATTTGTCGTCTTTCCGCCCGAAAACCGCCGATCAAAAACTGGCCGGTTTGTGTCGCTCTCACTTTTCTCCGTGGTCACGCTCCGTTTCTATTAGACACAACCACCAAAGATAATCAAAATGGTGGCTCATCGATGGCACACACTCTATACCAGAAATGAACAAAAAATATGATACTCATTATTTGTGGCTTCTAAAAAAAAACTGCAAATACGTTGATTGAAAAAAAAGTTGCACAGTTACGATAATTTTAGTACTTGCTCCTCTATATTTCTCCTTCCTCCCCAGTCCAGTTTCAATTTCGAGCAGTTGCGTTTTTTTGTTTTTTTTTACTTTATTAAAACTATACGTGACACTAGCAAAATATTGATTGGGTAGTCTTCTAACACCATAATAAACCGCCTGGCGAAAAAAAAATAGGGTGGGTATACTTTAGTGCAAAGCGATTTTTCGCATTTTACTTATGCTGAATTCCACTGGGCGTTTTGGAGCGCGCCGGGATCAGTTTACCCGATCCGGACTGGAGCAGACGATCCGAACGGGGTCGCGCCGCCTACGGATCCCCAGTGGAACATGACCACTGCTCCGGGATCGGCGGATGCCTTCCCGTCATTCAACTGCCCGGGAATCCCCTTTCCGCGGCCGCCGCGGTCGTTTCGAAGACGTTTTCGCAATCGCGGCCATGTACGACGCACGAGCGGCAGGAATGGCTCAGGCGCTTCTAGCAAAGATTGCCGGAATGTCCGTAGCGCGGCAAATACCTTCTCTTCTCCTTTCTGGAAAACGAACGGGCTGTCGAGCCAAGAGGCAAGCAAGCGGCCATTACGAATTCTTCTGATGTCGAGACAATCTAGGAGCCCAGCCCGCGACGTGCTTCTTCTTCTGAGGCGAAATGGGCGAGGTCAGGCGAGATGCCCCACGAGAAAGGAAGTCACGTGTGTGCGCCGAGGGCTGGCCCGGCTGGCTTCCGGTTGAAACCGCCGAAATCGTGGGAGCGACTTTTCCCGGATCCAGATCGAGATCTGGAGCGGGAGCCAATCCAAAACGACCAGTGAAGCACGTCGGTCTCGATCCCGATCGCCCAGTGAAATAGGCTCGCTCCAGAAAAGTCGATCCTGGCGCGCTCCAAAACGACCTGTGGAATTCGCCATTAGAGAATGGGTTGATCGGCGTCAAACTTTTATCGCATAAGTTTGTGCCCCAAATGAGCAATTTCCACCGCTCTATAATCCGTTGCAACTCAAGAAGGTAGGGCGAGGAAAAGAAAGGCTGGGGAGGAAGAAGCAGACGCTAAAGAGGAGGTTTCCCCTCTCCTCTCCAGCGTTCCGCCTGCTTCCTCCTCCCCGGGCTTCCTCTACCTCGCCCTACCTTCTTGAGTTGCAACGGACTAGTAGTTTTAATGGCGACCACTAAAATATTATTTAAAAAAAAAAAGCCCATCGTTTATTTGTTAGTGTCTTGCAGTGTGCGCACTTCATATCAGGTCGCTCTGATGTAAGCAAAATAATGAAAAAAAAATTTTTTTAAGTAGGATTTATTTTATTAAAATTTGGCTAATATCACTGCAGCTAGAAAATACTGATTATTTATCACTATGTGCATTTTTCAACACGGCAGATGGACCGATCAATGAAAACAGTGCGAAAAAAAAATAATTACGGCAAGTTTAACAATTTTTTGTTCATCAAAGCTTATACTAGAACAAAAACAACCTGGATTTTTTTTTTTTTTTTTTTTTTGCGGAAAAGTTGTATTGGCTTTTTATTATCTCGGTCTGATTTTCTTGCAATACGACATTACTTTCCCAATTTTCGTTTCAGTATTTTGC